TATATTTATGTATATACATAGGTTTTTACAACGTCCTTCGACGTTGTCCGATACCTAAACACCATCTCTTCCTATCTTCGCAGTCGTTTGTTGTTAAATTTCTTTCGCTCATGGACGTGTTTAGTGTTTACGCCGTGTTGCCATTCTAATCTGGGTCTTTTTTGGGGAGTCTTGTTGCTGGCATCCGTTGAACATGCCCATACCACCTTAATTGTTTCTTCTCTATATCTTGAGTTATATTTCCTTCTATTCCCATACGTTGTTTTATTACATAATTTCTGATTCGGTCTCGTCTGGAAATACCTAAAGATCTCATTGCATCCATCTCTACTGTTTCTATTCGCTTTTTGTTCTTTTCACTAATTCTCCATGTTTCAGCGCCATAAAGAAGAGTAGTTTTAATCATGGTCTCATATATATTAAATTTTCTTCCTTTATTCCACAGCATACCATTGAGACATCCTAAGACTTTCTTTGCTTGTGTGATTTGTTTTTTTATTTCCCGTGTATCAGTTCCTGTATTGTCAAAGGCAACACCCAAGTAGTCATAGCTCTCACAGCAGGGAATATGTTGTCTGTTTTCGAGGTCTATGTTATCTGACTCGTTTCCAAGACATTCATTCCTCAGTCGTTATATTCTTCTATCAGTTTTCTAAGCATGTACTGCATGTCGTCTCTGTCAGTCGCTAGTACTATCTGGTCATCAGCAAACTGGAGTGTATATATACATTCATTGCTAAGCTCTATTCGCTCCGTGCGTGACTGACACGACACCTACCGCCTTTTTCTGACAATTTTGGAGTTCCAATTTTCAGGTTAAACATATGACATATGTTTGACATTGTTAAATACATGCGAAATTGACAATTATTAATAAATTAGTTTTTTAACTATATTTTTTCAGTTTATGTACAAAATAAATGTAGTATTAAAAACTGGGTTTCTCAAAATTCATCATAATATATCTTTTCAACTCCAAACGTAAGAGAAAGGGAAAAATGTAGTACTGACAAATCAAGTTTTTCACGCAAAAGAGCATATAATTAAAAACAATAATAGTAAAAGTTATGATATAAAAGCTAAAGTCATCTGCAGTTAGCTTGAAGCCTTATGAAATATCATTCAAGGTAAATTATTTAAATTTTTCCTATTTCAATTGCGTAAAAATGAAATTATGTGATATTTACTTTTTCATATTAATAGCAGGAATTTATCTTTTTCTTTTCTCTAATTTATATGTAATCTTTGGGAACCTATAAAAACTACACTCACTGTTTTTGCTATTATTAGCACAATTAAATACGCAACATGTATTTGCACACATTTTTGATAAAATTTATGCGTAAAAATATTTTGTCCAATATTCAAATTTTGTCATATTTCGCCGCTATGCACGCTGGCGTCGTTTCAATGTACCCCTACCATGGTCACGCACGGAGCGAATACCCATCCTATGTACCTTTCTTTTCCATCTTTCCAATGCTGCTGCAACATATATCTTGAATAAGGTTGGTGAGATACAGTATCCCTGTCGCAAGCCTTTTGTAACCAGGAATTCTTCCGTTAGATATTTTCCTGTTTGTATCTGTGACTTTGAGTCTCTATATAGTTCTTGATGTTAGATCTTTTCAACGTTATCCACAATTTTGTTAAGGGATGTTATCATATGCTTTTTGAAGGTTTACAAAAGTAATATGAGTTTCTAGATTCTTAGCCGATCTTTTTTCTATTATTTGTTTAAGACAAAATACGGAACCCGCTTTGTTCTTCCTCTTCATTATGATTATATTCTTCCTTGATCATATTTCTCAAAATTCGTCCATACAGTCTGCTCAGGGTGCTGGTTACCGATATGCCTCTATAATTATTACAATTCCTTTTGTCCCCCTTTTTGTGTATTGAGGATATGTAGCGGATTTACCATTCTTTAGGGTCATTACAGCCTTCCTTACTGTTTCGATGTCTATCCTCGCTGTCTCTCCTTGTATATGTACTGACTGTGTTGGGGAGTTCGCTAGGTATTCTTGTCTTGTCTCTGTCAGCAAGCTTTCATAGTGATCTTTCCATTGTCTTGGCTTTATGGTGTGTATGTGTGCTTTGTCTTTTCCTGTATTTTTTACTGATTGTATACAATTCCATACCTCTGTACATTGCTTCCCTCCGATGTATGTATTGATTTCTTGACATTTCTGATCCCATATTTTATTCTTTTCTTGTTTTATCATTTTTCGTAATTGTCTATCGGTTTCTTTGTAAGCTTGATAGTCTTCAGTATTTTTTGTATTTAGCCATTTTAGATGCTGTTCTTTTTTCTGTTTTACCATATATTCGATTTCTTCGTTCCACCATATTTTGTTACTAATTTTGTTTTGCTATGTCCCGAGAGTCTCCTTAGAGGCCCGGTGTAAACTAGCAATAATATTCTCGTAAACATCTGAAAATGTTTGTCTCTCTATTTCTCGTAGTTTTTCATGTAGTCGTCGTTGGTATAGCTGTTTAGTACTATCATTTATAAAACTATTGAAGTTGTACTTCGGAGTGTCCACTGTCTGCAAGTCTTGCTTGTCGTCTAAACTTTGGTCTCCGTGTATTATCTTAAGTGGGAACAAAATTTTCGCTCTTACCAAGTAGTGATCGGATATACATGTTATTCCTCGGAGAACTCTTAAAACATTCCACTGCAATACAGATTTTTGTTTACTAATAATATAATCGATGACTGATTTTAGATTGCGTGTTTGTTGAATCCAGGTATATCTATGTATGTCCTTATGTTTGTAGAATCCATTGCTAATTTTTAACTCATAGCTCTCACATAAGTGTGTAAGTCTACCGCCATTATCATTAGTTGCCATTTCTCCAAAAGGTCCTACTACTCTACTGTTTTTCTGATATCCCGTTCTACTATTGAAGTCTCCAAGCATAATTATTTCTCTGTTTTTTTCCTATGTTGTTAAGTATATCCTCGATTTTTTTAAAGAAATCTTCTTTCACGTTGATTGTTGCATCATCAGAGGGGGCATAAGCGGCTATCATGGTAATCTTGTTCCCATATATGTCAATATTTACTCTTAGGATATTCTCATCAATTGTTTCCCAGTCTGTGATATTATTCTTAAGTTTTTTCTTTATTAGTATTGATACTCCCCTAGCGGCTCTTTTATCTTTCGGGACTCCAGTGAATATATGTATATAATTTTCTACCATATCAGTGCCAGTTCCTTTTTTCTTTGTTTCAGTTAGTGCTATAATATCCATTTTCATTCGTTCTAGATCAGGCACAATGATATCAATCTTTTGTTTTATCCCCTGTATATTCCATGTACCAATATTCATAATCCGTTTTCTTAGCTTTGGTCGTTTCCTTGAAAAACCATCTAAAGTTCCGAGGCTTTGTTTAGACTTTTTGGTATGTTAAAATTTTGACGAGTATTGGAGAACCAGTCCAATGCCACAACCCCCAACCTGGAGGACCGGGTAATTTGTGATCAAGGTTTTCTTCCTCTAGCCTTTGACGATCCAACGACTATAACTACAAGACAGCAGCTCGATTCTATACAAACCCTAAAATCAAAGGTTGCCACTTCCGCCCTCTATACCGTAATGAAGATATTCTTTCCCGCCACGAATGCCGTTGTGGACTTCATCCGTAACCTCCGTAACCCTGGACAAGGCTTTGTCCATAAAATTGTACAATTTTTAGTGACAATAAAGCATATTTCTATTCTATACATTTTGTTAACATTGAAAAGTGAAACATTTGAGAATGTGAATAGAGTATTTTGGTCCACCTACTTTGATTGAGATATTACTCATTTTTGCAAGTTTCAGCTTGTTGTGCGTCTTGAAAGACCTTCGACAAAAAAGCACAAAGATTCAAATAAAACCTGTTGAGTTTAGGTATAGATACGATCTATATGAAATACAATAGAATTTAAATGACTTCCAGAATATGGTATAGAATATAGAGTATGTCATTTAAAATAAGCATATTATTCAATGTCGCATGTAGGCCAAATTCAAATAAAATAATGAAAATAATGTAACACTATGTGTGATGAAATGATGAAAATTGAAATTTTACTGATAATATTATCTTGACTAGGTATATCGACGATAATTTGTGATATGTTGCATATAACCACGACATACTTGATTTTAATTGTTGAAGCTTACAAATTAGGAAATCTTTAAATATTTTAAAATTGGATTGCGATAGATATAAAAAACCGTAATATAGATTGAAAGCTAAGTAAATTTTGCACACGACAGACTTATATAATACAGGGTGATTAATTTAAAATAACTACGTTATTACAGCTTGAATTATATAATAGAACAATCTAGTATTTTTATCACCCTGTAAAAAATTTTGTTATACTAAACATATGTTTAAATTGTTAATTAGTTAAGTTGATGAAAACTTAATTGTAGTAATATTTAATTCTGTTCTCAGATTCTTAGAGTCGTAGATATGTATTTTTTTCTAAAACCTTACATTATTAGAAATTTTTAGAAAAGTTGAAATAAATCAAAAAACACCTTGTATTTATATATAGGGAATCTTTATAAAAGTATAGCTTAAAGGGTGGTGTTCCATAAGAAAAAATATAACTTTGATATACCACTCTTTTTTGGAGCACTTTGCAGCTATCACTAGAGTTCCAGCTAGTATCACTCTAACTTGTTCGGTTTCTGACAGATGGCATGATGTTGTTTTGAAGATTTTGAAGAAACAAAAAAGTAACCACATTCTAATATGTTTTCTAAGTTTCATTTGAAACTAATTAAGTGCCAATATTATTTAAACGGTTTAAATGTGACAAAAAAAAAACAATTTTATTAAAAAGTATTGTGATATTTTATAATTGTTTTAAAAGTTTTTATCATAACATAAAAAAATGTTCTGTATTTTTGTCTAGTATTACATTATGTATTTAACTTTTTTCCTCTATTGTTTTTACATAAACAAATTTTTACAGTCTGGATTTTGTTTTTAGATTTTTCCCAGAAGAACGGAAAAGAATTTATGAAAAACATACCTGACTATATATGTAACAAAGGACAAGAATTAGGCCTACACTTTGAAGAAACCACATCAAATAATTTGATTTCTTCTAAATCTTACAGGTGTGAAATTTGTTTTACGCAGTTTCCTAAAAAACAAACGTTAAAAACACATATGAGAGTCCATACTGGGGAAAATCCGTACAAGTGTGAAATTTGTTGTAAGCAATTTACCTTATCAATTTATTTAAAAAAGCATTTGAAATTACATACTGGAGAAAAGCCGTACAACTGTGAAATTTGTTTTAAGCAATTTGTTGTAGCACATAATTTGAAACAACATATGAGAACACACACTGGAGAAAAGCCGTACAACTGTGAAATTTGTTTTAAGCAATTTGTTGTAGCACATAATTTAAAACTGCATATGAGAACACACACTGGAGAAAAGCCGTACGAGTGTGAAATTTGTTTTAAGCAGTTTAGTGTAGCACAGGTTTTGAAACATCATATGAGAACGCACACTGGAGAAAAACCTTACAAGTGTGAAATTTGTTGTAAGCAGTTTTCTCACAAACAAAATGTGGAAAGACATATGAGACTTCACACTGGAGAAAGACCTTACAAGTGTGAAATTTGTTTGAAGCAATTTAGTGAAACAAGTCCTTTAAAAAAACATTTAAGAATGCACAGAGGAGAAAAACCTTATAAGTGTGAAATTTGTTTTAAGCAATTTAGTGGAGCAAGTGGTTTAAAACAACATATAAGAACGCACACTGGGGAAAAACCTTACGAGTGTAAAATTTGTTATAAGCAACTTACTGGAGCAACCACTTTAAAACAGCATTTGAGATTACACACTGAAGAAAAGCCGTACGAGTGTGAAATTTGTTTTAAGCAGTTTAGTGTAGCAAGTGGTTTAAAACAACATATAAGAACGCACACTGGAGAAAAACCTTACGAGTGTAAAATTTGTTGTAAGCAGTTTTCTCACAAACATAATGTAGAAAGACATATGAGACTTCACACTGGAGAGACCTTACAAGTGTGATATTTGTTTGAAGCAGTTTAATGAAATAAGTCCTTTTAAAAAACATTTAAGAATACACAGAGGAGAAAAACCTTACAAGTGTGAAATTTGTTTTAAGCAATGTATTCAAGCAACTGGTTTACAACAACATATGAGAACGCACACTGGGGAAAAACCTTATGAGTGTAAAATTTATTGTAAGCAGTTTTCTTAGAAACAACACATCCAAAAACACATGATAGTACACACTGAGAAAAACCTCTATTGTTGAATTCTATTAAACCTCTATTAAAGATGTGAAATTTGTTTAAAAGACACGGCGCCAAGTTGAATGCTCTATCTGTGTTCATGTTGCTGTGTTAGTAGTTTGAGTTCTATTAATAATGAAATTTTAAATAACATGGAGAAGTCAATATTAGCTGTAAGAAAAACTCGATTGAACCCATTACTTCCATTTCAGCGAGGTATAATTATATCGATACGTTATAACCAACTTTTTGTTGATTTAAAAAACGACTTTGATGTAAAATATATATTAACTTATAATCTTAATCAAAACCCTCTAGAAGGACTATCTTCAATTTGAAGAGCAATAGGTGGTCTACATGAAACATGATGATCCAACTGCTAGGGAGTATAAGTATAGATTGAGCAACTATATAATGGGTAGAAATGATGAAAAATTATTTCAACACCTGGAAACGTAGATCATGCATTAGATTCTGCAAATATTACTATTACCAATGTAATTATTTGTGAAATTGTCACTGAAGAGATGTTTTCCTCACTAAACCTGCATACTGGTGATACAGAAATTGACATTGAAGATTTATTCAGTTGATAATCATCAATATTTTATTACTCCGGATATAAAAGATCTGAAGTCCTGGATGGATTGGAAAATTTAGCCGGTTTCATTACATTTAAGTTACAAAAAAAAGAAATACTTGGGCCATATTCATGACGCTAATAAATCGTTTACTCTGATAAACCACGTTTCTGAGGGTGGTTTACTCAAACAAACTCTGTGTAACTAAATGTAGTGAACTGGAACATACTTTTCGTAATTATAGTTGCAACATATTAAAAATATCTAAAAATTATTTGAAACCCCTAATAGAAGCCGCAAAACATGTAAATGTACTTAAGTGAAGACGTAAAATTGCTTTTTTTAAATATAAAATGTATTGTAAAATACGGATGCTATGCATTATATATTTAATTTATGTCTTGTAGCAATATTTATTTTGTTTGTAATATACACAATCAAACTGTAGATTCATATATTTCTTTAATTAATTTTAAAAATTATGTATCCATTTTCGAACCACGTTTTTGCAGAAAATATTTAATTATGATTTCTTAGTCCAAGATATGGCATCAACCTAGTCTAGTCTTCAATAGACAAGATATTTCTATTGAAAATAGAATGACAAGAATGAGAACCTAGAGAACCTTGGAAATACGAATGCCTGAAGAAATAAACGAATTCTAAAAACATGCATATTTTAATTTTATACTGAATTGTGTGACAGGGTCGGATTTGCACGTAGTATAAAATACAGCTTACATGAAGTATTTCCAATAAATACTTATTATGTTTATCTAAGCCTGAACATTTCTTATTAAAAAAAGTTATATGTAAAATATTTGCAATTAGTTTTAATATTTACATTTTTGCACAAATTTTGTTTATAATCAACCCTTCGAAGAACAAAAAAAATTCACAAAATATTCCCATGAGTATTTTGGCATAATCACTTTCATGAGATACCCCAGAATAAGGTTCAAGAGTTCGACTATACGAAAAATGTCCTAATTTATTTACACAAATTGTATAAATCCATTTTTCGACCCGAACAATTCATTTAGGTTTCTTGGATCATTCTGATCAAAAAGGTCTCCTGCAATTTTTCTCTAAAGTTGATCGTCTTCGTGTTATAAACAATTTAAAACTGGAAAAAAAAACGAAAAATGATTTTTAAGGCTCAAAAACACAATTAAAAAATAAAGTTCCAACTTGGTTCTATCCGTTCCCGATAAGTATTTTGGGTTCATTTGATTTTGAAAGAACATTAGGAAAATGTAACTTGTCTTTCACACACAATAAAAAAAATCCAAAACGCTAATTCTTCTTCTTCATGTACCATGTCCTTTCAGAACGTTGGTTACCATCATAGCTATCTTAATTTTATTCACTGCCACCCTAAATAGCACGCTTGTATCAACACCATACCAATTTCGCAAGTTCTTCAACCATGAGGTTCTTCTTCGTCCTGGACTGCGTTTGCCTGCTATTTTTCCTTGCATGATATTTTGTAGCAACCTATATTTGGGACCTCTCATTACATGTCCGAAATATTCCAGCTTTCTGCTAATTGAATAATTAAATTACCACTTTAAATATGTAGAACACAATAATTATTGTATAAATGCACTATAATTAATAATATTTTTCATTACATTTAGATATAGATACCTAATATTAGGCTTATGACAAAAGTAGAGAGAACAAGTCTATTGCGAGTAGCATGCGCCTACAGGACTGTATCTGCGTCGGCCTTGTGGACTATCACGGGTTGTGTTACTCTGCATGTGTTAGCAGTAGAAAATTGACATCTCTATCAGAGAAGAGAGCATTTGACAACAGCTATAAAAAAAGAAGAAAGACTAAAGATCAATGGAAAGATGGCAAGAAGAGTTGCACCAAGGAAGATGTTGCCCAGTGGACCAAGATGCTGATCCTGAGCCTAAGGGACTGGGTAGATTGCCTTTTTTAGGGCGTATCTTCATAGGTTCAGAAAGACAGATACAGATAAATGCCTATACTGCGAATATTCCGGCATTGTTACTCACACAATTCTGGAGTGTAAAAGATGTACAGTGGAGAGAAACAGAATGTATAAATAGGTATGAACCCTGTGACTGTAAGAGATGATCGTGAAGATGACGGGAAGTACGGAGGGATGGAATAGTGTTCACAATTACATCCGAGCAGTGATTAAAAAGAAAGAAGAGAAACGCCAACGACAGAGATACGATCTAATTACTATTTTAATGGGAATAAGCCGCAAATGAAGGTTAAAATAAGTTTATTGACGTTTGAATCTTTGATCTTGCACTGTTAACTTGTTTATACTCCAACAATTAATAGAAAAAAGAATAGCGGTTGGTACCGAAGTACATCTAGCCTTCATCGAACTATAAAAGGCGTATGATACAGTTTCAAGACTTAAGTTGTGGCAAGCTTTAAGAAAACTCGACATTAGTCCATACTTTTTAGGATTAATCACAAGTATACAGGGATAACACTACTTACCTAAAAATCGGAAATAGACTATCAGAGCCAATGAAAGTAACTAAAGGACTAAAACAAGGATGCACTATGTCACCCTTAATGCTTAATTTATATATCGAGGCAGCCCTCTAAAGTTGAAAAACCACTGCCAGGGAATGGGAATCCCCATAGGAAATGACGTACTGTTGTTCCTGAACTTTGCGGATGACCAAGTCGTCCTAGCTCAAGATTCTTATGATCTACAATTTATGATAAAGCTTCTATACAAAAAATTTAATTATCAATTCAGATGCAAAGTTTGAAGTATTGATAGACGAGGACGTGGAAATCAAACAAGTGGAAAAATTTAAATATTTAGGTGCACTCATTGCTAAGAACGGCTTTGGAGAAACCGAAATTAAACACCGAATTAATCAGTTACGTAAAATTGTGGGATAGCAACATTTCCAAAAGGAACAAAAAAAGAATAAGGCAAACCCTGGTTGAATAAGTTCTTGTTATGGCTCTGAATTATGGACAATTAATACAGACCTGAAGACGACATTGTTGGCAGTTGAAATGGATTATTTGAGAAGTGCTAGAACATCAAGGCAGGAAAGGAAGACCAACGAATCTATAAGAAATACCATGAATGCTACAGAAACGATCATTGGCAGAATAGTAATAAGAAGTTCAAAATGGTTTGGACACCTATTGAGAATGCCTGACGAACGTTGGTCCCAAAAACTTCACAAATAGAAGTCCCTTGGAAGAAAAGCAAAGAGGTAGACCTCGAGAGGTTTTGAGAAGGATGCCTTGGACCGGAAGGATTGGCGGAGGAGAACAGCAATACTGCGATAGCCGTTTCCAAAATGTTTTTTAAATTTACAAGTTAGATTAATGTCAAACGTCAATAAATTTATTTTAACCTTCAATTGTGGCTTATTCCATTAAAATAGTAATCACTTTAAAATGCCATAAGAAAATAGCTTCAGAACAATGGATAAAAATCTAGATAAGAGAAGGGAGTGTTCCAAAAATGTCGTCAACATTTTACGGATCTTCATGTAACAAAAATTATTGGCGGGACGCCAATAAAACAAGAATGTGTAGTGTAGCAATAGGTAAAACTCTAAAAATTACCTGATACACCAACGAACTAAATGTGGGACTAACAGATATGAAAGGGATTAGATAGGAAATAAATTATGCGAAAGAAATAAATAAAGGATAATATGAATTTTGTAAAAAAAATAATAAAATTAATGCTGGCTAGCGACTATGCAGGAAATGACCACATGACAATCAAGAGGGATTCGTCCAATATTGTCATGCCCTACAGAGACCGTAAGATAAGAATTAATGACTAGAAACTACCAAGAATGTAAACAAAGAAAGATAAAGTTGCCTTCTACTGAATGTTTGGGGCGCCAGGAAGTAAATGGTTTCTTCCGTGATATCTTTATTGCAGAAATATTAAAGGATAGTTACCAAGTGAAATCTTAAAATTGTTTTAACCCAACTTAATAAGACCTATTTTATGTACAAATTATTTAACCCCTTAAATATAACAATATAACCCAACAACCTCTTAATGTACAATTTAACTAATCTATATTTACAGTAAAACCCTAAATACAAGATAAACAGTTTTCCCCTTTCCGCAAATGTAACCTATTTATGTGAAATTTGACTAAGAATATGCCAAAAGTTATATAAATAGTAATATAAAATGAAATATATAAAAAATATAAATGTCACAATTATCGAATAAATGAAATAAAACCTCTCGGGATATGTGGTGCACACTATAACCTGCTTATAGAGAGATTCCATGGGGTTACAATCTCAACCCTTGATGAATAAAGAATGATAATTAATTAATAAAAAGTTAAAGCCTTGAAGAGAAGTTAAAAGGTATTATTACAAATTTACACTGACTATTATTTAAAAAAAAGAATATGATTATTATTAATAAAAAGATAAAAGCCTTGAAGAGGAGTTAAAAGGTATGATTTACAAATATTACAATGAAAACAGACAAAAAAACAAACTAGTTTCCTGTCGGTTTTCTTTCACCGTGGACCTGGAGGTGGTCAGGATGACGAACTAGATGCAGGTTGGGTAGAGGTCCAAAACTGGACTCCAATAAAAGGTACTGAGACTTTTCTACTCTTTAAACAAAACCATAGATTCTTCCCCTGTGTTTAACTCCCCATACAATGTAAATAAAAAGAGTCTTTCTTCCCTCCCGACTTGTCCTGGAATCCGGTAACTAGGCTAAAAAAACAACAGTTGTGTTACTACAAAGTCCTTTGAGTTCATACAAAAAAATAAAGAGACACCAAGAATCAACACGTTTTGCTACAAATGTGAACAAAAACTATAAGTTGTTTCTTTAGAAAAAATAACCTTGGGACTGTTATAAAATTTTGGATATTAACTAGGTAATTTTAAGAACGCCTGTATAATAGATTATAGAATCGAAAAAAAATATTACCGGTTTAAACGGTATGGAATTTAATAGATAATTGTTTTGTCTTACATACTTGTAAGAAATAAAATTATAAAATTTATTACTTGAAATCTGTTTAAGGTTTTAGGAAATAAATGTAATAGTTAAATAGACCAGAATGTATTTTGAAAGAGATTAAAGAATTATATTTAAATTTTTACACCAACAATGGCGATGATATGACATGTTTTTATATATACTAAGTATTTAAATTTAAAAACTCACCGGCTGTGGTCCAAACTTAAATGTTTCCCAAAACAACAAAATAACCCCCCATAAAAAAAAGGGCTTCTTCCAACACAACTGATTTTCCCAAAAAAAAATAAAAATTAAACCAAACTCATGCATAAAGATGGCCCCCACAGCCGCCACTGAACACGTCTGGCTCACTTCACGGTGCCAAGACCAAGTAACGACACATCACGAGGTTACGACGGAAACGAAGTAGAATTTTACCTAGAGGCGCAACATGCTGCCAACTTT